GAGCGTGGCGATAAAGAGGAGAGGAGATATGAATGGTCCGACTTTGAGAGGGAGGGAACGGAGGAATGCGGAAGAAGAGGAGGTACAAATAAAAGAGGATGTTGGGGAGGAAATGGAGAAAGGAAGGGTGGCGGGCACAGAGATATGGAGGAAAAAATGAGTTAAGCAATAACGGGAAGGAGGCAATAAGGATGAAAGGGGAAGGAAAGAAAACAGATGAAAGAAAGAGAACAAGAGGAAGAAGAAAGGAACAATGCACCTGGAAATGAGGAGACAGTGGAAGTAAACAAGAGTAAGAAAGGAAGTAGGGAAGAAAAGTCTTATGGGCAAATCAAAAGGAAATGGAAGGAAGATAGTGAACAGGAAATATAGAAAGGGAGGGACAGGAAGTAGTGGAGGATTGAAGGAAAAAGCGCATGAATTAAGGAATGTAAGGAAGAATAGAAGGAATGTAGGGAAAAGCAGCAAAGGGGCGCAACAAAGGGAAACAAGGAGAAGTGAGGATGGAAGTAAGGCAGTAAGATGAATAAAGAGCAGATTGGAGTGTGGAAGAAAAGACAAAAAAGGGCACACTAAATAAAGAAGGGAGTGGAAAGTCTCAACAGGAAGTAGAGGGAGACCAAAATGGAATGGAGGTAATGAAGAAAAGGAGGAACGAGTGGAGGACGGGAAAAAGGAAAGATAGAAGGGCACAGGGTTTTAAGGAGATAAAAAGAGGAACAGAGGAAGAAATTGAGAAAAAGCCAAAAGGGCAGAGCAGCTAAAATACAGAAGAAAGGGAGCAAGGAATGAAGGGGTGAGGTAAGAAGTGAGGACAGGCTGGAGGGAGTCCAAAGGGAGAGGAAGCTCAAACAAAGCAAATGAACAAAAGGAAAGCAGAATAAAGTCCAGCCGATCCCCGGAAAAAAAGAAAAGAAAAAAACAACCCCAAAATGGCTGAACTCATTTAGCTCGGTGCAGCCTTTCAATGGATATGATGTCACTCCCACACACATGAAAGAGAGTCTGCTTCAACAACACACGGGGATTATGTGAATGAGATGAAGTATTCAGACGGCTTAGTGTCACAATTAAATGTGTGTGACTGTGGAGAAGAGACAGAGACAACGAGACGGAGGACGAGAGACGAAGACCGACAACAGGCAGAGAGAGAGAAACGGGCAGCGGCAGCCTTGAGTCGTCTGCCTGTCGCTCTGCTTCGCCACCACTACGCTGTGATGGATTGTGGGAAGTGATGACACATGACAACTTCTACTGTCGTATTCAAACACAGAGAGACACAGCCGACCAGGTGGCCGGTTGCACGGAGACATCTCTGCAGACAAAGCGGAGGGTTTCATGCCACTTCTCCTTTTATTTATTCTCTCACGACTCCTTCCTCCCTTCCTTCCTTCATTTCCTTGCTTGCCACTTTCTTTTGACATGCGGAGACACAGCTACCAACATGTTTGTAGGACATGCAGGTGAATGCATCACATGTAACAAGCTATGTTGGCTTTAGAATTTTCTCAAACTCATTTTACAATCTGTTGCCAGAGTTTACCCAAAAGTGGCCTCATGGCAGTTTAAAGGATAATTAAGATTTAGAACAACTTGGGTCGTTTTTTGTAGTTTTCGGTCACACCGTAATATCCCTAAAACACTGTTTGATGGGGAGGAAATGCAAGCAATCAGACTGGGTGTGAAGTTTTCAGTCAAAGAAATTAAAACCACTTCATCTGGAGGTAAATCTTAAGAAGAGTGCAGCTGAAATGTAATTCATAACCCCTTCATTTGCAGAGGTAAACAAAAGTATTGTCAGTACCGTAAATCCAAGCAGTGTGGAGGCTAACATCTGACTGTATGTTTCAAAACCCAGAATAAGTAGAAGATGAAAGGTTTAGTCCTTATAGTTAGTCAAGTTAGCTCAGTAACATCCCTCAGAACAGTACATACATTCATTCAGATTAGGGAATAAACGAATCAGGGACCTAACGAATTAAACAGTTTAAGCCCCCCGTTCACAAATACGTATAAACACTAGAGGTACAGGCTGCCTTTCATTGTGAAATGTACCCCAAAATAACATGGCGCTGCTCCCCAAAGTCCAAGGCACAAATGTGCCCCATTGGATGAAAGTGGGGAAGTTGCGAAAGGTTTCTGACGCGGGACATCGACAACATGGAATCAACCAACCGTGCTTGTTTCTGAACAGCACTTTTGCAACTTGATTAAAATAGTGGCACCAGAGAAAATAACTGTCCAATCATTCAGTGCAACTCCACCAGGAGACAAGAACGTCAATATTGATAATTGATGGTGCAAAACCCAGTTTACATACAACGCCAACATTGTTTAAATTCCCCCCTTCTGCATTGTCTGTGGATGACAATACGGTTACGATTAAAGAAAGATTGGAAGCAAAGTCTGCATGAAACACGGCTGAACTGCTTTTGGATGTTTCTATATTTCCATCGGGGCTGCCACAGACGTCCAAACAGATGTCGGGTAAGCAACACGTTCTCACTTTCAGCTCGTCGGTTGGTCATCGGCTACTCTTCACACTGCGGCGCTCCAAGTCGACCTCGAGCCTCAGCTTGGCCTGCGTCAGTTCTCCATTCATACATTTTGTTTTCAAAATAAACTCCCGCGTTCACAGGAAACGGCTTGGTTAAGATAAGGCAACAAAATGGTTTTGGTTTTGGTTAAAATAAAGTATGTTTGTTAAGTAGTTACTACGTTATGTCCGGACGTAGCTATGTCACGTACGCAACCTAGTGCATAAACTATGCAACGTAGTCAAGTAGAATACGTAGTAAATGTAGTAAAGTTAGGTGAACTCTGTAAAGTAGTTTGAAGGCTACGTCACATCAGTAACGTAACCTACGTTACACGTTATTATTTAAAATAACATTGACTTTTGGTTTTACACAAACACCCTTCTCCTGGGTGAAAGTCCTGTGTTTGTTTTACCCACCCATCCACCCCCTCCTCCTTACGCAGCCTTCATCACTCTTTAAACTACGTCACCTGACTTCCTCCTGTACTCCCGCGATAGTTTGGCGCGTAAGACTTGACGTGTTAGGTGTGAGAGTGGTCTGGCTCAGTCGATTTGAAAGAATGAGATGACAAATTACTCATCAACACTTTAAAAGGCCATCTGTGAGCTTTCATTCAAAATAAACTCTTCAAGACCATTTTGTCCGTCACAGTCAAAGCCACAGAGATGGTGACAGCTGCTCTGGTCGCCATCTTCATCCTCTTGATTCATTTTAAGGTGCCTGACATAATAAAAAAGCCAGATAATAATGTATAACATAATAAAAAAAACATTTCATAGGTGTAAAAAATGTAAAACGTGAGAGTGAATATGTAATAAGCCTCGCTGCCTTCGAGGGTAGCCACCATCTTTATCCTTAAATATACTAACAAGAGACAAAGAGCCTGGGTCGAGTCCAGTGGCCTCAGGAACAGCACCATGAAAACAAATCTGCTGCCTCAGCAGTTGCTGACCTCAAAATGGTGGAAGCAGACAAACAGTGCAGCCAACATGATTCCTCTTTTTTCTGCTACGACTACTGAGGGGCACAAGGTCGCAAAAACATGTCAGTCAACACGGATGATGGATTGTTGGCATGGTTACTGTGAGCATTTAGTGGAGCTCTCATGGAATCGCTGCACAGCTGCTGTTTCTGGTCACACGAGAAGCAAAAGAAGAAAACATGCCAGCTAAGTGTATGCTTTGTTGTGTGTGAGACGTCAGGTATCCGAGCAGGTGGTAACTCAGTTTGATGCTTTTAGTGAAGCGCGCAATCTCAGAAGAGGAGGAAACCATCTTCACACACTAGTTGTTCGATGCATGTAACCGACATTACATGTAACTCTCCATTACAGCAACCACACCTCAGCAAAAACACTCACACAGGCTGTGAATGTGAGGGATGAACGGTGTTTACACCCTAAGACTGAAATTCAATTCAAACTGTTGAATCACAGACACACACACACACACACACACACACACACACACACTCTCTCTCTCTCTCTTATGAAACTGCAGCATCATCAATGCGAGTAGTGGGTTATTTTTCCCCCATCTGCTTTGAGGAATTGTGTTTGTGTGTGTTGTGGTGGAGGTGGAGGTGGAGGGGGAGGGAGGGGGTGCATGCTCCTAGCTCAGAATCCCAATGTCCCCTGTCTGTCCCGGGGAGTGATCTGCACACACACACACAGCCCTGCTGCTTGCTGGTGCACCAACTGCTGATGTGCGCGCGCACACACACACACACAGAGGATTGATCCTGGATCTGATAGTTGCCCTACAGCTAATAATACTGAAAGGGAGAGGAAGGGGGGTTTTGGGAGAAGAGGAGGAGGAGCGGGTGTAGGAGAGATGTGAGCCCCCTCGGCGCAACCAACGCAGCCGCTGGAGAGGGCATAACGCACATATGCGCAACAACCGGTTTGGGAATTTGCAGGATGCAAATGCCTGTGCCGTGAGATCGCGGGGCGCGCGGGGGGAGGCATGTATGCGGGCTTTCCGACATGTCACATCTGAATCACAGCTGCCCGCACCTGTCTGTCACTGAGTGCAAGTTGCGCGCTGACTTCCCCGCGTGACAGAAAGACAGACAGAGGAGGGATGGCGCACCGGTCCGTACATGTGTGTGTGTGTGTGTGTGTGTGTGGGTGTGCGCGCGCGTCTGGCTGTAAATACCAGCCACACCGGCATGCACGCGCATCAATGACAGAGGGGTCAAAGCCTCGCGCACCACCGGCCGGCTGCGTCCCACCAGTCAGAGCGCGAGACAGGGGAGAGTGCCCCAACGGGCTTTGCACATACGTGCACAAGCAAGCCCCGGAGGAAATGCAGCAAGCAGCTCACATCCAAACAGCCGGAACGTGAAGGGCAAAGCCGGAGACAGTTGTCTGAGACATTTTCACCTTCAGCGGGAAACATCAGAGACACGAGAGGGAGAGACGAGAGGGTCCAACACAAGACATGGAAATCATTTACTCACTGTTCTCAGGAGCCCGACACTCTTCTTCTCTCTTTGCTCTCCGCGTCTTCTCTCCGTGCACCACAATCCATCCGTCCATCCCTCCGCTGGACATGTCCTGCGGCATAGAGCCTGGTCGAATTCTAATGTTGCGGGATAATGTCCTCGGGATGAAACGGGGAAAAAAACGTGTCACCCCCCCTCCCCACTCACACATACACACACAAAAAAAGCAGATAATCACGCGCACACACAGTTTCGACCTTTTCCTCCACTCGGCGAGGCTACATGTTGCTGACTGCTCCCTCTGTCCCGCTCGCTCACTCTCTCCTCTCCCGTTATTTTGTTAAAATTCAGTATGTACGCTCTGTCACCTAGCAACGTCTCTCTACCTCCCTCTCTCTCTTCCTCCCTCCCTCCATATCTCCCTCTCTCTCTCTCTCCTCATCACTTCCTCGCTACACGTGTTGAATGCTAAACTAAGTTGGGATGATTTTTCTATATATATTTCCCTGAATGTTTATTTCTTCTTTTCCTCTTTCCTTGAGTCATCTCTCCTCACTCGCCTCGTCCTTTTTTATTCTCGACCGAGATCCTTCCATCTTCCCTCCCCAAGGACGCCCTTCCATCTTTCCTCTCTCCCCCTTCTCTCTCCCCTCCCTCCTTTTACACCCTCTCTTCTTCTCATCCCTCACATATAGCTACTTCATTTCCTCCCTCTCCCCCCATTCTTTCTCTCCCTCACCCATGTCTCCTCCTCTCACCCTTTTTTTCCAGTCCTCTGTGACAAATGTGGCAGCACATGTCAACACCCGGTGAAGGAAATGAGTAAAACAGAAGTGATCACATTAATCTAAGGATGCCTTATATGTTGTGCTTATGTTAAACATTCACCCTGTTGAAACAATAAGTCTATTAATCGAGTAAGTCGTCACCAAAAACAGTTCATTCTTTGTTTTACACAACACGTGCAACACGTGCTAGATTAGTTTGGTGTTCATGAATGACTGTGAAGAAAAGTTTTCTGTTAGCTCGTTAACCTACAGTTCAGTGAGCAACGGAACGCTTTAGCTCTTCTGTATGGATTTTCTGCATTATTATGATGCAAAATCAAACATGAGTTATGTACAATGTGCAAGAGTGAAAATCAACGTACAGTCAGAACATATAGTATAATATAACCAACTGGTTCTCTCTCCCAAGGCGTCAAGTAACGCAGCTCGGGGTGGGAAGAGCCTCAAAGTTTAGCTGTGTTGTGTGATGCATTGGTGTGAGAATGTGTTGGCTTAACAGAAACCTCACCCGACTGCATCCAGTAGCCGGGCACTGATCGGCACAAAGGCTGTTTGTAAGAAATGCAACGTAACGTCACCCATTGGTTTAGGGACTGCGGTTTTGAAGCTTGGGGTTCTGCATCTTGGCCGTCGCCATCTTGGCCCACTGGCACAAGAGGGCGGAGCTAAGTACAACCGAACGATTTTAGAGTTTAAAATGTACCAATCACACGGTGGCCCCGCCCTAAAGCACACCCTGCTTTATGGTCTATTTGACTCTAAATGGACCATCATTTACTAAAAGTGTGGCTACACCCGTGTTGTTTGTTTGTTAAATGCCCTGATGAAGACCTACAGTTGTTGAAACATGTTTCCTCTTTTAGTGATTTAGCCACTATAATTACAGCTTTTTAAAGTATTTCTATCCTCATTAACATTTTGAATTTCTTGGATTGACTTCCTGTTTGTTTTACCTCGTTTTCCAACAGCACCCGACACGTTTTGATCTGTGGTTGAGTACACAGAGCGACCCGTTCTCTCTCTCTCTCCTATCTTTAGTTTATTGTTTGATCAAGGTGTATCACTTTTTGTTTCTTTGTTTTTGTCATAAGGATAATAATAGAACAATGACAGGGCTTGTTTTACATAATAAGTAGGCTACTTTGTCTTTTCATATTTTGAGCAAATTGTGATGCTTATTCTGTATTTTTACAATCAAAGGACGTGTGTGTGTGTGTGTGTGTGTGTGTGTGTGTGTGTGTGTGTGTGTGTGTACGTGCAATGGAGTAATAGAGTATTTTGCTACTTTTGCTTTTTTACACTGACCGATGTGTTATTACAAAGAAGATGCACTATAAGAGTGATGGGACTCTGTTGAGATGAGGTTAGACCTTAAAATACACATTTATCCACAAACACGGTAATCGTTAAACGTCTAGAAAGTTTAATTATGTGCATTTTGAGGGTAAAAGTACGTCAGCCTCTCCTCTATTCCTTCTTTTCTTTCCTCTGCTCAGCTTGTTGTTCTTCGCTGCACCGTCTACCAAATGTTTACCAGAAACAATTCGTGTCCCATTTCCAATGTTGAGTTTGAATCAGTATTCAACTCCTGTATATAACGATGATTAATAAACTGCTGAGAAAAACATGTAGTCTTCTCACCGCTGCTCAAATTTTGTAATTCCGTCCCCTAATTGTGGCAACAGCAAAACTTTTTATTCCAGCCGCCTGTCTCTCCTGCCCGGAGGGGGTTGGATGATAATTACCACTTGGGTTTGTTCTTTATAACTCAGTCTGCCAACTTTTCTTTTTTTTTTTTCCTTCCTCTCCCCTCGTTACATATTCCATTCACATTCTCCCACTGAAGATAATGCCAGTTTCAGATTTAGCTCTCAAAAAGAGAAATCTCTTCGGCCAATTAGCTTAATCTCAAATCATTTGTAGCTCCACAAATGATTACCTTCCGCTGTTGTCAAAATGACTCTCCTCCACATGTAATTACCATCACAGGAGATGTGCTCCAACACTGCATCACCTTCATGTTTGTCTTTATCTGACTTAAACCCGCGCCTTGTTCTCAACAGTGTATGAAATCTCTGAGCCTTTTATCTTCCACCAGCCCATCATCTTTAATGGACCTGTGTGTGTGTGTGTGCGCGCGCGTGTGTGTGTGTGTTTTTCCTCTCTATTTCCTCTAAACACTTGTTTTCCCCGGCTGCAGCGGTACATGTTGTTTTCTTGGCATAAATATAGAAAAGACGAGCAGCCGCTCGGCCAGTCAGCCGGCTCAGAGACATTTATAAATTTATAAATTTAAAGGCTAGGACGGACAGACAAGCGGCCATCTTGGTTCTTGTTTACGCCGTGGTGCTGCTGTTGTAAATTGGACGCCGGGAATCGACTTCTGGGCACTAAAAAGCCTGCCTGCCTGGCAGAGTACAAATAAACTGGAGAGAGACTAGTGAGGAAAAACACACACACACACACACACACACACAGAGATCATGACACAGCACATGGACACAGACATAACACGGCGATATGCATGCTTATCTGTTTGTGCACTTTATTATATATTTTATTGTACATTTGAATATGTTTCTATTTGCACTGTGTTGATTGTTGTTGATTGTTTAATGTTTAATGTTATGCACCACCCGTCATGTCAAATTCCTTGTATGTGCAACATACCTTGACAAATAAACGCTTCTGATTCTGATTCATATTTTTCCATTGACATACAGTACTCACACTGTTGCATGCAGGTGCACTGACACATAAAACAGCATTTTATTTACTGATGCCTTTCCCATTTATTAATTATTTCCTGTCAATTGTATCTAATTCCAACAGTATTTCCTTCCTAGCAATAATACAAAACCAATAAAAGTCATGCATTCATGACTCCAAATGTATTAGTAGCAAAAAGTGTCAAAAGTAAAAGTACTCAAAAGTGATGAAGTGTTACATTTTATTATTGCAATCATAAACAATGCGTTTATGTATGAGCATTATTTGAATTTTTCCATTCAGCAGTTTTGGGCAACTACTGAGAAAATGACCACCACAGCTAAAAGGAAATATGAGAATGAATCACCCTAAACTTTATTAAATCTTCAGTCAAACATGTTGCCAGTGGGTGTTGGCCTCCGTCAGGGTTGTCCATTGTCACCGATTGTGTTTGTGATTTTCATGGAGGGAAGGAGAGTGTCCAGTTTTGCGACTGCTGCTCTTTGCAGATGATGTGGTTGTGTTAGTTCAATCAGACTGTGAGCTTCAGCGAGCACTGGGGCAGCTCAATATGAAGCGAGTCAGTACCTCCAAGTGTGAGATCACGGGTCTCTGATGGAAAACGATGGATTGCACTCTCTGGATTGGGAGTTCAAGCATCTCAGGATCTTGTTCACAAGTGAGTGTAAATGGAACAAGAGATGGACATGCGGTTCGATGCGGCGTCAGCAATGTCGGGGCCGTCGTACAGGACTGTTGTGGTGAAGAGGGAGCTGAGCTGGAAGGCAAAGCTCTTGATTTACCAGCCCACCTACTTTTCAACCCTCACCTATAGTCACGAGCTTTGGGTAGTGAGCAAAGGAATGAGGTCGCAGATAGGAGCGACCGAAATGAGCTTCATTTGTAGGGTGGCTGGGCTCAGCCTTAGAGATACGATAAGCTTAGACAACGGAAGGGAGCCGAGTAGAGCAGCTGCTCCTTCGCGTTGAAAAGAGGCCAGCTGGGATGGTCCGGTAGGATGCCTTCTTTTAGAGGATTTCCTGGCATGCCCAGCTGGTAAGAGGCTCCGAGGTCGACCCCAGAACACGCTGAAGAGATTATACATCTCTTCTGAACGCCTCGTGGTCCCCCCGGATAGAGCTGGAATACGCTGGTGGAGAGAGGGACGGCTGGAGTTACAGGAAATACAAAGAGGCCAACATTTGGACTCGCTGATTAAAGTTTTTAAAAAGCAGCAGTTTCAGTGCTGCACTGCACAAATGAACCAACCACAATGCCACAAGCACGACGGGAAACAGAAGAGGAAACCCAGCAGCATGTTCGAGAAAAGCTAATGTGTCATTACTGTCATTGGATGTGGTGGTTGGGTAATATCCATAATAACTGTACTGTATGGGCAGTGCGTGTTGATGGGCGAGCACCTTGGTCTTCCTCTTTGACCTGCAGGATGGTTTCGTAATAATGTCCCGTTTAATGTGTGCTGTAATGCTCCCACAGATGATGATGTATCTGCAGTTGTTGGCAGAGGAATAGGTCTGGAAAACGCTGCTTCTGCAACCTGCGCAAATGTCAAACCCTGTTTTTAAGGATGGATACAACAGAAGCCATTAGGGAGATGTATCGTCAGACAGGGAAACATTATTTCAAGAGCTTGTTTCCTCACTGTGGCTCTGACGATTCATTTAAATATTTGGCTGTTTGTCAGTAAAGCACAGTTACAGATACGTTAAAAGCTCCTGAAATAAAACTGGTTTTAATGAAATGCTTTTGTTTGTATCATGTTTTTTTCCTTGTTTTCACCTCTGGATGAACAAAGAATAAGTAGCATCACATCCAAATATGTCGAGCAGCTAC